TTTCTCAGACATATACTAGTTATTGCAAAGCCAGGTCATGAGATTCTTATCTCCAATTAGTCCCCAAAACTGGAAGTGGTAGAGTGCTAGCTTTGAGCCAAAAGGTACAAGGACAGTTCCCAGGTTCAAGTCCTAGGACTGACACACACACAAAATACAAATAAATAAAGGAACAGAGATTTTACCTCAACTATTTACAACTGTGAGCATGCTCATGATGGTACTGGGTCTTGAACTTGTAGCATCAAGATCTCATTTTTTTCTGCTCACAGCTCACGCCTACCTCTTGGACCACACCTTTACTTCTGGCTTTCACTGGTTACTTGAAGATAACTCTTGGGCCTTAATACCTCCGCCAAAGGCTCCCAGTTCTCAATGATTTCTTTTTGTTGAAATATATCATATGACACTTTCTATTCCACAATGTGTCCAGCTGAAATTTTCAGTGATCATTAATATGGAGGATTAAATAAATGATCATTATTAAAATGAATATTTCATGAGCATAGTAGGTAAGAAAATTTAGATGAGTATTCATTATCTGGCCCTAAAAGAGAAACCTTTTCCACAACTATTCTGTTCCATTGGTACTGCTATTATAAAAGTTATGCATTCATTTAATCAACATTATTTCATGAGGGAAAATTCTAGAAGACTATAATGAATGAAGAACTTTGCAGGTTTCCTGTCTCATAATGTCCTTTTCTGGATTATGTCTATTTTCCATTGTCTTTGATATCTTTTCCAATTCTATAAATGGCAGAAAATTTATGTATTGTTAATGATTCTTAATCAAAGAAAAGAGATTACATGTGTGTAGTGAGTCAAAGAAAAGAAAACATATGTGTCCATTGGGCTTCGATTGATTTGTGCCTACAGATGTTGACTGGCCTTGCTTCAATGTTTAGATCTGTAGTAAATGCATATTAATAATCTTGACTGGCTAAAACATATATAGCATTTTCAATTATCTTTTAATACTTATTGTAACATCTTATGGTCTCTTTCAGTAGTTAAGATAAAGTCTGTGACATATAATACCTTATAAAAGCATAGGGGAACTCTATGTGTAGTCTTTGAAGAGCTTCCATACAGTTTCCAAAGTGGTTTACACTCCCATCAACAACGTAGAAGGGTTCCCTTTCAGCCACATCCCCTCCAGCATCTGTTGTTATTAGATTTCTTGATTATAGCTATTTTAAACTGGGGTAAGGTGGAATCTCAATGTTGTTTTGATTTGCATTTCGTGTACAGCTAAAGAGGTTGAGCATTTCTTCATGTGTCTATTGGCCATTCTTATTTCTTATTAAGAGAAGTCTCTCTTTAAGTCTTTTGCCCACTTACTAATCGGGCTGTTGTTGATCAAAAACAAGGCCATACTAAAGCTAACAGCATAACTATGTCTATCTCAGCATTACTCACCATAGCTAAGATATGGAACCAACCCAGATGACCCTCAGTAGAAGAATAGATCAAGAAAATGTGATTTATATATGTAAAATGGAATTCTATACCTCCATCAGAAAGAATGACATTGTCCCATTTGTTAGGAAATGGAAAGACTTGGAAAAAAATATAGTAAGTGAAGTAAGCCAGACTCAAAGAAACATAGCTCCCATGGTTTCCCTTATCTTCAATAACTAGTATATGTCTAGGACAATGAAAAGCAGTCAAAGTCTATGTACATATGACCATATAAACTGATGCTAAGCAAAATGAACCCCAAGATAGGGACACAGAGGTTTTGTCTTTTTGCTGTTCTTTTTAATGTACTTATAATGTATTATGATTTTTTTGTTTTTTTGTATGTTCTTCCCCCATGGTACAACCCCTGTTGTCACTGTATTTGATTCTGGTGTCCTGCATCTTGTATATACTTTTTTCTAATTTGGGGAGGGGAGGGGAAATAACAAACTGTTGAAATAAGGATATAAGATGACCCATTGCAACAATGAGATGTACAAGACACTATATTGGAATCAAGCTTTACAACTTTGCAGGTTGAGAGTGGAGTGGGAGAGGGGAGGGAGGAGTTGGGGGAGGTAGGGAGGAAAGGGTTGGTAGGGGAAAAATAAAGGAAGGTGTAACAATGCTCCATAGGAAATGGACTCATTAACTTGCTCATGTAACTGTTAACTCCTCTGTACAGTATCTTTACAATAAAAATATATATTAAAAAAGCATGAGTGTATTAATTATATGTATGAAATATACAATAAAAACAATGTTTTGTGCATTCTATATTTGAAAGAGTTTTTTGTATTGGATTAGATTATTTCTCTTGAAACACTGGTACATCTTCTAATTTGCTTTGATGTTTCAAAGTTAATTTGATATCAAATTATTATTTTTCTATTTGCCAATCCTGAGTCTTGAACTCAGGTCCTGGGCAATGTCCCTGAGCTTTTTACTCAAGGTTAGCACTCTACCACTTGGCTTTTACTGTGTATGTGGGGATCGGGAATCACACCCAGGGCTTCATGCATGCTAAACAGCACTCTATCACTGAGCCTCATTCCCAGTCCCTGATCCCAAATTGATTGTATAAAGAATATCTTTTTAAATTTAAAATTTGCATTCATTTCTGTGAATTTTAAAGAGAGGATGACAATGATACAACCCCTTGATCTTTCTATGTAAGAAAAGCAAGGACCACACACTTCATCCCAAAAACAATATTATAAAGGAAATAATTTTTGGAATTAAATCAATGGTTTAAGATTTTCGATAAGTTTTAAATTCCCACATTATAGTAAATCATGCAGAATGGAGTTACAGAAGAAAGTTTTCTGGTAAATAAATATGATAAAAATTGATGAAGACACTTTTTTCTAGTCCCTTCTCTCTTTTCCTTCTGAAATACCTAGAAGATCTGTATTAATTGGCAATTAAACACCCAAGAATAATCATTTATCTCCATATTCTAAAGGCATCAATAGAAAAGGACTTTGCAATGCAAAGGCATTGTTTGGACTTCTCCAATTTCTACACAGGAAGGATTGTAAAATTAAAAACAAAATTCTAATATACTTGGATCTCAGAGAGATATAAAATTGCTTACCATAAATATGTTCCAGACATTTACTGATGATATATTATTCTCAATAAAACTATATTTTTGCTTACTATGCACACATCATTGGCTTTTGGTATGCAAATCAAATATTTAAAAATTGGAAGAATTGAGCTATGAAAATTAAACTTCAAAATCATATATAACATTCAATGATTGTAAAGAGAATTCTACAGAAAAATGTCACATAATTTTTACCATATCAAGTCTCATCTATGATATAGTATCATCAGATACACCATCTCTGAGATTAGATTTGCCTTATAACTAATGATGAATACATTATTATGATACACTTTGACATGCAAAATTTTCTTCTTATGGAGGCAGTTACTGATGAGGAAGCTTATAATATATGAACTATAAAATGGCACTTGACAGGACGTGCTGCGACCTGACATTTGTTTCTCATCTCTGTACTTTCCATCATGTGTACGTGAAGGCCTAATTTAAAACTGAAGGAGTTTTATGGTAGTTAACGTACTGTGTTTCCAGATAAATGTCAAAGAAAATCGAAGCCAGAGACTGGGGGAAGGGTGAGTGTGTGTGTGTGTGTTTCTTCAATTGCTGATGTTAACCTTGTCTGTGATAGAATCTATAGTGTTGTTTTAGGTTTGCCTGGTATTTATTGTGTGTGTTCTATACAAAATATTTCATATTTATTTATAGAAAGACCTCAACTTTACCATTGCTATAATTGTTATTTTCATATAAATATACAATGGATATTTTGCTTAAGCCCCAATATAGTCTGAAGCAGATGTGATTCTTGCCTTTTCAGAGAGGGTTCTGCTTAGATTGGAAATACTTCTATAAAATTTAAATATTTATACTAGTTGGTGGATTAAAAGAAAACTTTAGAATATCGTTAATGTTTATCTAGATTTTTTCCTACAGTTCTGAATACAATGGTTTTTGAAATATGCAATGCATTTGTTAAAGCTGAGTTTTGGCTGATAATTGATTATTTGTAAACTGTTATAATCTGTTAATCTGGAATAAATGAATTCTCATAGGGCTGAATTAAAGTATTCTTGGTGTATACATACTGAAAGTGATAAGGAGCTATGCAAGCCCCAGGACTGGCAAAAAATGAAATTACTACATGTATATGTGATTATGTTTTCTATTCTTTCTTACTTGGTTTTATTTATGCTGCTTTGTCCTAGATAAAATACCTTCTTTGATTATACATACCTCCAAAACACTTTGCCCATCTTCTTTTCCCTTAATAAATTCAAATACCAATTTTAGAAAAGAATCTTCAGGTTCCTCAATGGATTTGAATTTATGCTTCCCTCATGCTCTCTGCAACTTCTTTTATTTCGTGCCTTATAAAATAGCCATTTACAGCGGGTGCAGGTGGCTCACGCCTGTAATCCTAGCCACTCAGGAGGCTGAGATCTGAGGATCACAGTTCAAAGCCAGCCTGGTCAGGAAAGTCTGTGAAACTCTTATCTCCAATAAATCATCAGAAAACTGGAAGTGGTGCTGTGGTTCAATTGGTAGAGTGTTAGCCTTGAGCTGAAGAGCTGAGGGTCAGTGCTCAGTCCCAGAGTTCAAGCCCCAAGACTGACAAAAAAATAGCCATATACTTAAGGGGTTGCTGAGAGCTTACCCTATTTCCAGCATCTTGTAAAAAAAAAAAAAGAGTGTTGAACAAAGTATTACTTGATTATATAAAGTATGCCATAAGATATGTATGTAATGCTAAAGGATCTTCCCAGATTCTCACATTATTTCAAAACTATAGATGAAATCTGAGAAATGGTAGTGAGATTGGTGCCAACAAACTGTCATATGTATTGTCTTGAAATAAAAATTCATTTCCACTCCAATGAATTACATTAATTCTAATAACATTCTCGATTTCAGGCTGCATGTAAAAATCTATAAGTGAATAACCCATGGGACAAAAATAATACACTTACGAAGAAAAGACTTTGGTGTCTACTATTTTGCTGACTGTGTTCTTAACGTCCTTGTTTCTGAGACTGTAGATCAGGGGGTTCAACATGGGGATCACCACCGTGTAAAACACAGAGGCCACTTTGACAGTGTGTCTGGAGTTTTTGGAGTTGGGCACACAGTAGAGGAACAGGATGGTGCCATGGAAGATGGTGATGGCAGTCAGGTGCGAAGCGCAGGTGGAGAAAGCTTTGCGACGCCCACTGGCCGAACGCATCTTGAGGATGGTGACAAGAATAAACAGGTAAGACAGGAGAATGATGAGCAGCGTGCTGACTTCATTAAACGTGGCAAAAACGAAGAGCAGCAAATAGTTGACAGACGTATCGGAGCATGAAAGAGAGAGTAGGGAAGAGAACTCGCAGAAAAAGTGATTGATGGTGTTGAAAGGGGAGAAACACAATTTCAAAGCAGAACCTGTCAGTATCAGGGAGCATGTTATCCCCCACCCATAGGACCCCAGCACCAGCATAGCACAGAGTGTCTGGGACATGGCAACCGTATAGAGCAGAGGGTTACAGATAGCCACAAAGCGGTCATAGGCCATCACTGCTAATACGAAGGACTCAGTCACGACAAAGGTGCAGAAGAAAAAGAATTGTATCACACACCCCCAAAACGATATGCTTCTATCTTCTGCAAGTAAATTCACCAGCATCTTGGGAGCCACAATAGAAGAATAGCAGAAATCCACGAAGGAGAGGTGGCTGAGGAAAAAGTACATGGGAGTGTGCAGCTTGGGGTTAATTTTGATAATGACAATCATTCCAATATTCCCTACTACAGTGACACTGTAGATGGCCAGAAAAATCAAGAAGAGTGGCACTTGAAGTTCTGGGTAATCAGAGAAACCCAGGAGGGTGAAGGTGGCTTCACTGTCATTTCTCTCTGAGAGTTGCATGCTTTTCTTCATCAGTATCTGAAAATCCTGGAAAACAACAAGAAGGAGCAGAATGGGAGCTTTGTGGTTCTTTCCCCTTACAGAATGTGGAGGATGAAGATTTTCTTTTCAAAGCTGCACCTTTTTTAGGCAAGCATGGATGTCTAAATTGCTTAAAGCTTACTCATTTAAAAAAAACTTAATGAAGAAAAAAAATGTTGAGTTGGAGCTTAATTATTCCTTGAAAACAGAATAATGAAACCCACTGAAACATTTTTATGAAAGGGAAAGGGGAAAGAGAAGAGAGACTAACAAATTTGACCAAAGTACATTTTCTGTATATATGGAAATACCAGAATGATATCTTTGTAGAAATATATATATACATATATATATATATATATATATATACAATTTCAATACTTACAAACTCTAGAAATTGGTATGAAGTTATTATGAATATTTTAAATCATTTTTATTTTATTGTCAAGGTGATATACAGAGGGCTTACAGTTATATAAGTAAGGTACTAAGTACATTTCTGTTCAAACTTGTTACCCCCTCCCTCATTTTTCTTCCACTTTCCCTCTCCCAAATCCCTCCCCCCAAACCCTCCCTTCAATTGTACAGATGATTTCCAACATATTGTCTTGTGCATGTCGTATTTTCTCCTAAAACTTTTTAAATTCACAGACTATTAGCCTAATATGCTGTAATGACTAGTTATCATGGTTCTATAATCAGTAATGTAAATCCAACATGAATAAACAAATTTATTTTATATCACATATTGCTACAATGTCTTTCAATATCAACAGTCCCAATCTTCACTATGAGTCTTTGATTTTTATTTTACTTTATTTTCTCCCATTTTGCTGTGTGTTTATATTTTTAATTTTATTTTTCACTTGAATTATCACTCTCTAAAATGATAAATATTACATCAAAAGAAATGTTAATTGTTGGCTTAGGAGAATATGTTCTTTAAATTTTGGAGTTAGAATTGTATAATTTCCTTAATATGAAGAGCTAAAAGACAGAACCATTTAGAAAAGTACTCTGCATTAGCTCCTTATTCTAGGCACAGAGAAATGATTAAATTCCTAGTGGCCTGCAGATGAATACGAATCTACTCCTAACACTGTACACATTTTCCAGCCATCAGACTCCGATTTTGTTTTAGTGTAGATATTAGCAAATTACCTCTATGAATGCTTATGATTCTACGGATGAGCAAGTTTTAATATTACCCATCCTATGGAAACTAGTGAGAAACCAGTGAGAAAATATATTGGGTAATGAACGATCAGAAAGCAGTATGTTCATGTACAATCGATTTAAGGAAGTGCTCTCTACTAGGAAAAAATTGATTATGTTTCGGCATAAAAATTTCCTTTCCTCAGCCCTCTTTCTTTGGTTGTTTCTTATTCTTCCTCACTCTCTCCTCTCCATCTCTGTCTTCCTTGGCTCTAGTATATTCAGTTTGCCCCAATGTTACCTGTGAAAGGGAAGGATTACCAATTAAGAGCGAACCAACTTTCCTGTTGTGTTTTCTACTCTTCAGTAAAGCTGCCCCCTTTCATACTTTCCCTCACTTCTCCAATCTCTGCTTATTTTATTTTACTTCATGCATTTATTCATGCATTCTTCTTCTATTTTTTTTCAACCATTTGTGAACCTGGATTAATATATAATCCCCAAATTTTTGAACTTGCTTTACCTTCTTGCCCTGGTCAGTTGTGTAACCTTTTGAGTTGTTTAGTTGAGCCAATCCTCTAAACATGATGCTTAACATAAAAAGTACATGATAATATTTTACCAGAACAATGTAGTTATAAAGGGTGCGTTTCTTTCCTCACAAGTTATTTTCTAGATTGAAATAAATATCAGTTTGTAATTTTGAAACAAACCTGCTGATGTGAAGGCAGGACCTTCCTCTTCAGGTTGGTAGTGAAACCTGAATTTTTTATCTGTAGTTTCAACCAGAGAGACCTAGGCCCCAGAGACTATCAATTGCCCCATTCTCTAGAGGTCAGAAAATAAACAATTAAAATTAATTACCTCAATCTGATGCAATGCTTATATACCAGAAGGCCTGGGAATAAAGGATTAAATAATATACTTATATTAAATAATATAAAAAAGTTAGGAACATTTCATGTAATTTTTTATCAAAGCTAATTTTCCCAGCCTTTTAAGCATGCCCTTAAAATTCCAAAATTATGAAATTTCCACACAATTAAGAAGATCTTGTATGTGAATAATTTTCTTATATCTATCCAAGTTCATTATAACAGAAATTATTTTCAAAGTGTAGCACAATGAGATTGGATACAATAGGAAACCAATATTCAATTATTCACTGTTAGAATTTTGTCTGATATATTAGGATGTGACTTCAGTGTATAATTCTTATCATGCTTGCCTAGCAGTTGCTATACCATTTGAGCCACACAAAATAGCTTTTGCTATTTTGGCGGGGGGG